AAGAGGAGGCAATGATCGCCCGCGGTCCGTGGCCCGTTTGTTAGGTTACTGCTCCAGCATTCGCCTGGCACTGAGCGAAAAAAAACACGGAAAACTATAGATAAGAGCAGTCGAGAGCTAGAATTCTCGTCCAGGCAGCGGCTGAATTCGACCTCGCTGACAAGCTAGTGTCGAAAATCCTGCTACCTTCGGGACTCGAGCCTAGGTCCTCCTGCGCAGAGGGGCCGTAGCGAGATAAGTTAATGCTCTGAGCCATCTCATCCGGCCTGTGGTTTGGAGACTAACGAGTACTTCTACAAAGAAAAATCATATTTTCGAAACAATCGCGATAATTAGAATACAACAATTTTTGGGCGAAATGATGCAACATGGCGACCATAAGTTGACGACCATGGCGACATGGCTACATGGCGACCATGTAGAAGTGGATGAGTTACACGAGGAAGGAAACAGTGAAAATTTCCAACTTCCTAGGAAGCGTTTCAAAAACTCTATTTAGTTCTCAAGTACGCTAGAAGCAAGCGAGCATGAAGCGATAACTACAAATCGATATCTAATTAAACAATTAGTTTGGTGTTCATGTTTCAATGTACTTTTGCGAATTCTTGTTTTGTTTATTATCAGAGTAAACAATCCAAAAGTAGTAATTCTCACGTCACAAACAAAGACAGTATCGAGCGCCAACGCCTTATATAGATGGTATTGGCCAGTATCGATAAGTTTGGGACCATGAAAATAGTAATCTAATAATCTCATTGTGTAGATTACAGCATGGGATACGTTTCTTTGAGGCCATTAACCTCAAAATTCTAGATTTTAAGGCCATAGAAATCTTCGTTTAGGAGTTATTTAACTATATAGATTTTGACAATTGGGCAGAATGTTAGGGTTAGATTTGACTTGAATATGTCTTTCAACAAAACCATCCAAGTCTAAGTGCAGTTCATCATGTCTCCATGCAATTATCTTTTGTTTAGAAACCTCATATTTTAGAGTTTTTTAGACCTCATCTTTTAGATCCTTTTTTTAGAGACCTCATTTTTTAGAGGTTTTTTTTTTTTTTTTTTTTTTTTTTTTTTTTTTTTTTTTTTTGCGTGTGAGAGCCGTATAAGGTATTTATATTACTGAATTTACTATTTCAGTAGTATACATACCTTTTACGGCTTCTTTCAAAACTACAATATCGCTGTTAAAACAATATCGATTTCAATTAATCAATGATAAATATATCGAAGTTTTTAACAACACATAGTTGTTTCGAAATCATCGATCGACTGGATGGGACTCAGAGCTAGTATTGTCTCCGTCCCCAACATTGACTCTAGCCGAGAGGTCATAGGGTTCGACTCCCAACGGAAACGAATTTTCGACACTAGCTAGATTGCTAGGTCGGGGAGGGGAATTATAGGTTATCAACCAACAAAAATCGAATAAATGAGCAGTACGCTAGCAAATAGGCCACGTATCCTTTTTATTCCCTTCCACGCCACATCCTCTCCATTTGACAAACACACACTATTCAATGCACTGCCAGTAATGACGGGGACAAGTTGGGACTTTAGATCTTGTTCCTTTTGTGGCGGGGCGCCGGTGGGAGCAGATATTTGGAGAGGGCAAGCTGAGGTGTAGATAGGAGCCGGATCTCACCATCTAGCAGACAAGGAATTACAGCCGCCTCCCGGGATGAAAATTCACAAAGCGTACTAACACTCACAACAGTTGATGTGTCCACGCACATTAATCGCTAACATAGCCGTCAATGTTACCTGCCTACGCTTCGATTAAAACGGGATTTCGTTTCAAGGTGACGAGCTGGCCGCAAAAGGGGGCCCTGCCATCGAATCGCAAGCTTCGTTACGGCGTGTATTGAAGCGCTCGATTGGCTGACAGTGCTTTAGTCTCACTTTGAGCAGGCGCCGCGCGCGCTCGGCGCGGCCCCGCTGCGCCGCTCGAAGCAGCCGCTTGCCCAGAGCGGCCAGGCGCTTGCTGCGCGCGGCGG